AGCCACCCAGGCACCCCTATCTCACTCTTTTAAATGCCTGTGTTTTGTATATATGAAGCTACTAAGCTCAGAGAGGTTGAGTAACTCACCCAAAGCCACACAGCTAGTAAGCATGTCTGACTCCAAAGCTGTGCTCTTCACATATGCTAGGCTTATGCAGAAAGGTGAGGGGTTGGATGGGGGCAGAGGCAGGTCTAGGGCAGGCTGGCTGGGAGGAGTAGAAATAGGCCCCAGCCCTGGTTGTCTCTGCCTTGGCAGTAGGACAACGGCCCACTGTGGGCAGAGGTCAAGGAGCCTGTCCACGCCTGCTCACTGGGCCCCTGGGGCCTGGTGAGAGAAGCCATGCAGGGAGCCTCAAAGGTGCAGACCTGGCTGGCCCATCACCCAGAGCTTTTTCTCACAATTAATTCTCACTCCCATGAGCAGGATCCTGGGAGCCAGGAGAGGGAGGACGTGGGGCTGAGAGGTCAGGCTGGCCTGACAGAGGGGAATGGGGAAGAGTCAGGCCGATCAGGGGCTTCTCCCACCCCCACATGCTCAACTGCTAACCCCCGCCCCCGCCCCATGGCCAAGGGAACAGAGACTCCAGCCCCAATCCGGTTTTCCCACATTTCACTCTTGCTGCATTTATGGGTGACATCTACCTTCCGATTTTTACCTCTTAAACAAACAAACAAGCAAATAAACAAACAAAATTCTTACCAATTAGAAAAATAAAGCAAACGTTTTAATTAAAATGGAATATACATACAGAAAAATGCACCCCTAATAGCAGTATAACATGATGAATTTTTATAAAGGGTAACTAACACCCAGATCAAGAAACAAAACATTTACCAGCCCCCAGAAGCCCTTATATGACCCCTTGTGGTCACTAACCCCATCAGTAATGGCCATCCTAAGTCTGTTTGTGAATTTTATACGAATGGAATCAAATGGAGTCTGTGCTCTGTTGTGTCTGGCTTAGTTCTACGCCAGGTTTGGGCTGTATGATACACCCCGGCATGCATATTCCATATTTTATTCATCGTTGTACTGTTGGAGGATATTTGAGTTGTCCCCAGGGTTTGCCTATTTGGAGGACTGTGGCTATGAATGTTTCTTTGCATTTCTGTTGAATGCATACCTAGGGCATGCCTGTATTCAGAGCTGTAATAAAACTCTTTCCATTTAAAATGAGAATCTGCCTTCCTGTTTTGTTTTTGCTTTTGTCAACTCTACTGACGTATAATTAACTATAATAAAACGCACCCATTTTGAGGGTGCAGGTCGATGACTTTAGATCAACATATACACCCACGTGAATATGACCACAGTCAAGATACAGAACATTTCCATCCTCCCAGAAAGTTTCCTCATGTCCCCTTGCAATTATTGTTCCCCACCCACTCCTCCCTGGGCAACCACCGATTTGAATTCTATCGCCATCTATTAGTTCTGCTGTTCTTGAACTTCCTATAAATGGAATCCATACAGTAAGTACTTGTGTGTTGTCTGGCTTCTCTCCCTCAGCATTCAGTCTGTGGGATTGTGTCAGTTCATCCACACAGTTCGTCTGCCCTGTTTGCCCGTTCCAGATGCTCCTTTATATTCTGTGTGTTTTTTTGAATGTATCCATTTGTTCATCCATTCTCCTGTTGGACATTTGGGCTGTTTCCAGTTTGGCTATAATGAACAACGCTGCTATGATCATCGAGACACACATTTTTGTGTGGACACATGTTTTTATTTCTGTTGGTTGAATAGCTGGGAGCTGCCTTGTTGGGTCATAGGGTAAGTGTAGATTTAACCTTCCAGGAAAAGGCCAAACTGTTTTCCAAAGAGGTAGTACCAACTTGTCCTCTCCTCAGCTGTGAATGAGCGGTCAGTTGCTCCACATCTCCTCGCCAACCTTTAGTGGTGCCTGGCTATTTACATTGAGCCATACAGTAGGTCTGAAGGGTTACCTCACTGGGAGTTTTAATCTGCATTTCCCTAAAGACTAATGATGTTGAACATCTTTTCATGTGCTCATTAGCCATTTGTACATTTCCTTTGGTGAACAGTCTATTTCAGTCTCCCTGGTTTTCTGGTTTTTTTTTTTTTAACAGATTTTATTTATTTATTTGATAGAGAGAGAGAGAATGAGAGAGAGCACAAGCAGGGGGAGCAGCAGAGGGAGAGGGAGAAGCAGGCTCTCTGCGGAGCAGGGAGCCCGATGCGGGGCTTGATCCCACAACCCTGGGATCATGACCTGAGCTGAAGGTGGACATCCAACCCACTGAGCCATGCAGGCATCCCTCAGTCTTCCTGATTTTGATTTCTTCCTCTCCCTTCCTACAGTGCCCCTCCCCTGCCATCTACATCCTCAGTACCCTCCTGTTTCAGGGTACTGAAACAGTCTCCAAACTAGTCTCTTGCCCTCCAGTGGGCTACTCCACTGTGCCCAATGACCCTTCCTAAACACACTACACAAGTCACTCCCTTGTTCTAAAGGCTGCTATGGCTCCCCAAGTCTGCAGGAACAAGCCCCCATCTTTCAGTCTGCCATTCTCTGTGCCTCCAGCACCCGGTCCCAGCCTTTCTTTCCTGCCTTCCCTAATAATCTCCCAACCCTCTCTATGTCTTGATGACCTAGAATGCCTTGTTCTCTTCCTTCTCAGGCAGGTTTAAATCTGTTCTAAATCAAGTCCGCCTCTCTCCAGGGAGGCTGCCAGCCAGCCCCACCTATGGGGATTCCTGGCTCCTGGAGCTCCTCTAACACACATTTGCCTCTGCTCCTGTTTCACACTCAGCATTTGCTTCCTACAGTGTCACTTAGATATCCAGAGGGAAGCGAGGGGCTTCTTGGTACTTTCTTCCTACCTTGGTAGGAAGTTTCCTAGTTTATGTGATAAAAGCCATGGAATGCCACCTTTATAAAATTGTATTATCATACTGTATATTAATACCAAATATGCTTTTAAAAATTGTACACGTCCCCTCCCTGAAAATTCTAGTATATCTGGGAGGGGGGCACTTGGAAGTAGGGTAGGGTCGGGGAAAGGTACCTCCTCCTCTGTTTTAAGAATCTGATATAAAGGGGCATCTGGGTGGCTCAGTCAGTTAAGCATCTGCCTTCGGCTCAGGTCATGATCCTGGGGTCCTGGGATCGAGTCCCACATCTGGCTCCCTGCTCAGTGGAGAACCTACTTTTCCCTCTCCCTCTCCCTCTGTCTCCTCCCTGCCCTCCCCCACTCATGCACTCTCTCTCTCTCTCTCACTCTCCCTCTATCTCAAATAAATAAATAAATAAATAAACCTTAAAAAAGAATCTGATTTAAACAAAAGATAATTGAATTTGGAGGAGACACCCTGGATTTGAGTTCTGGTTCTGCCATTTAGTAACTTTGGGGTAGGCGTTGGGCAGATCAGTTTATCTCTTGGGGACTCCATGGATTAGATGGGGATGATGACTTACAGAGTTGTGAGAAAAGATAAAACCTAATAAGGATATAGAAGCCAATGGTGAAACATACACGTGTGTGTCTGTGTGTGCGTGCCTACATGTGGTGAGACTTGGTCTATTAGATTGTAGCCCCTTAGAACACTGACCTGGTAAAGAAATCTTACCCTTTTATACAGAATCGGAGGGAGAAGCTCATAGGAATTCGTGAAGGAAGATGTCACGGCAGACGGCAGGAATCACTCATTAGTGTCCCTAACCTCCTCATAGGGCTGTCCACCACCTCTCTCCTCCTCCTGCTTTTCTTTCTCCTTCCCAAAGATCTCCTCTGGGATGCTGCTGTCTTCTCCCAGCCAGGCCTCATTTTGAAAGGGACTTCAGAATGAAACCAGGGGGAATGTAAAACAAAAAAGAGAAAGGAGAAGAGAGCTCCAGATGCCGAGAAGGGAGTCTGCAGAGCACAGGGACTTGTCCCTGAGGACCTTTAGCAGCTCTGGGTGGGGCTGCACTGATGGGAAGGGGCTGCTCCCAAGGCAGTGGGGGTGGGGTGGGTGCTGTTTGCTATGACCCTGGGTGCCCTTGAGCGAGTGGAATTGCAGAGGGATCCACCTGGAATGATGACTTCTGTGTGTTCTCTGTAGTTATGCCTTTCTCTATGGTTATTCCTTTTAGAGTTTCTCACTCCAAAAATCACTGGGCTGGAAAGTGATTCACCATTGTTAAAGTCAAGGACCAGAGGGTCACCCGCGCCCCATCTGGCTGGACGGAGTGAGTCCTTGCACTTTCTGCCCCGTGAATTCAAGAATGTTTATGTGCCAAGAACTGTTCTAGTTACTAAAGATGCAGCCTGAGCAAGATCGGCAAAGGTAAGGCCCTGCAGCACCAGTCTGTTGGTGGAGACAGACAGGTCAGGGTCCCATGTGGGACCGTCTAAGTGCTACTAAGAAAATACACTGGTTGGGGCGCCTGGGTGGCTCAGTCGTTAAGCGTCTGCCTTCAGCTTAGGTCATGATCCCGGGGTCCTTCCTGGGATGGAGCCCCGAGTCGGGCTCTCCGCTGAGCAGAAAGCCTGCTTCTCCCTCTCCCACTCCCCCTGCTTGTGTTCTCCCTCTCGCTGTGTCTCTCTCTGTCAAATAAATAAATAAAATCTTAAAAAAAAAGAAAAGAAAAGAAAAGAAAATACACCGGCTAGGGGATAAAAATGTTACAGCGGACTCCAGAGGGTGCGGGGACAGGAGAACGCGAGGAAGGTGTCTGAAGTCAGGCGGTCAGAGAAGGCCCTGGGTCGGGGGTGGGGGGGTGGGGGGGTGGGGAGGCGGGTTCCTCCATGGGGGTCGCCGCCGAGGCAGCCGGTGTTCCCTCCAGCCCCGGCCGGTTCTCGCTCCGGTGGCTTCCCCGCCGGCGCGCATCCGTCCCGCTCCCCCTGCGGCGTTTCTGGTCTCTCCCGCCTGGCGGATGCCCCCGGGTCGGGCCGGGTGGCCGCCGCGCACCGCAGGAGGAGCTCGGCTGCCCAGCAGGCACCGTGACACCGCGGGCGGCTGGCGCGTGACTCCGCCCCGGCCCGCCCCTGCTCGCGTCGTGCGCCTCGCGGGCCGCCGCAGACCGTCCCCGAGTCCTCCTGGGTCGCCCTGGTGGCCGCTGGGCGCGCGGAGCTCATGGAGCCGGCTCGGGGCGCCCCTCGGGGGAACGGCGGCGGCGAGGCGCTGCTGGGCGAGCTAGAGGCGCTGGTCCGGGACGTGGAGAGGGCGAGCTCGTGGTGGGAGCGCCGCGGCGTGGACTGCGCCATCCTCGGGCTCAGCCTCCTCGCCTTGCCGGCCGGTGAGGAGCACGGGACAGGGTGACAGGGGGCCGGGCTGCAGCTGCGGAGCGGGGTGCGGGGTGGGGTGGTGGAGAGGCTGGGGACTGGGGCTGGGGGAGATGGTGCTTGCCGAGGACCCCAGGAATGAGGGGTTCACCCCAAATCCGAAAGTCTGGCTGCAGTGTCCTGCCCTATGTCCCCAGAGGATGGGGCACTGGAGGAGGGAGAAGTTCTGACGGCCTGAAGGGCGGTGGGGGTGGGGGGGAGTTGAGAGGGATGAGAGGGACTGGGGGACGGGGGGATGTTCCATGGGGGACACCAGGGATGGGGTTTCCTGTGGACCTTTCCCGGTTGCGATCTGCCTCACTCTGCCTGTGGCAGCCCCCAGGCACCTGGCCCAATTTAGCCTGGGCTCTAGGGGTAGGGGCCAGGGTGTTTGGGCCCAGGTGTCCAAGAGCTGGAGGAAAACCCTGCCCCCCTCCTATCTCCCCATCCCCACTCTCCCTCCTCCATACAGGGTTCTTATGCCTGCGCTCTGAGAATGTCCTGCTCCTTGGGCTGGGCATCACCATCCTGGGTGTGTCCCACTACACACTCACTGTCAAGGGCAGCCACCTGGCCACTCACGGGGCGCTCACAGAGTCCAAAGGCTGGAGCAAGTTCTGGGAGCTTTTCTTTGTGGAGGTGAGCCTAGTTGGGGTAGAGGTGACTGCTGGTACTGTGTGCGCAGATCTCACTGTTCATTTCTCTTTTTTGCAATGCCATCGTTGTCAGGGGTGTGCAGCTGTGTGTGTGTGTGTGTGTGTGTGCACGGCCCCCAGCCCTTGAGAGGGTGCTCACACTGGTGGGTAGAGAGCTGCATGAGGAATGGATGTGTGTCCACCTACGGCAGTGGACCTGGCCTGGGAACCCCTGTTTCTCCAGGGGGCACGTCCTTGCCTCTCCGTGGCACTGGACCGAGTGGTGATAGAGCTCCTCCTCCTACAGGACACCTGTCCTGGTTACAACCTTTGGGGCCTCCTGGTTTCACGGTCAGGGAGTAAAATGTGAACCCCGGACAGAAAGGGAGGGGAAGCAGGGGCCTGACAGTGTCCCAACTCTGGAATGTGCACCCCTCTGATGCCTCGTGATGGCTGAGCCAGCCTGAGGAGCCCCTTTCTCTCCTGATCTTTGATTCCCCTGAACTTCTACTCCCTCCTCTTTCTGCCTCACCCTTTTCCCCTATGGGCAAAGCCAGAGGCTTCCGACTAGGTTGTCCTCTCTGGACTGCTGTCAGGCCTTTCCGGTTCCTCTGTGCAACTTGCCTCCTCCCCGCCCCCTCCCAGGTAGACCCTCACCTGGTCACCCAGGTCCCTTATGAACAAATATGAAAGCTGGCACCGGAAGAGTCCTTTTCTGTCCACGGCTTACCATGACCAATTAACTCAATTATTAACTTGATATAACTTTAGAAAAAATATATTTTATTTATTTATTTGTCAGAGGGATAGAGAAAGAGCGAGCACAAGCAGAGGGAGTGGCAGAGGCAGAGGGAGAAACAGACCCCTCCCGCCCCCCAAGGAGCAGGGAGCCCGATGCGGGATCATGACCTGAGACGGAGGCAGACGCTTCACCGACTGAGCCACCCAGGCTTCCCGAACTTTATATAACTTTATTAAGGCCTCTATAACTATGTGCACGTGCAGACCCACAGATGACATTTCATACGGTTACGCATTTCCTACCTAGGGCTCTCCATTCCCCCATTCTCCCCTTCCTCTCCTCTCCCACCTGCACACATTTCTAAAGTGCTAACAAGAGGAACCTTCAGGTTCCCGATCCTCACGGTCCATTTCAAGTCACTTCCCTTCCCCGGGAAGCCCGGGGTGCTGGTGCTAGCTAGACTCTGAGGCCTGGGGCCGAGGTCAGATGCCCCGTAGCTTGTCATCACGGGAGGGGAGAAGCTGGGGACACAACGGGTAGGATGAGCTCTGTGTGGACTTTTCAAAGCTGTCCTGAGTGCCAGGAGCCCCGGGGGGCAGCTGAGAGTAAATAGGTGTGGAGTTTGGACTAAGTTGCGACAGGGGATTTGACTGTAGAGAGGTGACTGTGTTCCCAGACTTCCCTGCGCAGCTGAATGACCTGGAGGCCCAGGCTTATTGGAGGAGAGCGCCCCGGCCCCTCTCTTCCCCAGGCTCCCCAGGTGGATCTGATACCCACCAAAGTTTGAGAACCCCTGGCTTCAACTCCGGGGAACGAGGGAGCTATGGTGGATGCCAAGCGAAGGCAGGGAGCTGGGGACACGTCCCCTGAGAAGCTTCCCAGGTACCCCAGCTGAAGAGCTGGTACAGAATCAGTGCCTGACCCGCCATGAGGGACCGAGGCACCTTGGTGGCTGCAGGCTGTCTTGTCCCCATGAGCCCCAGGGCTGTGGCCTCATCTTTGCCTCTTGGTAAGTTCAGCTCTTGGCACAGGGCTGTCAGTATATGTTGACGATGACTTTGCAAGTGACGTGGGGACAAGGTCCAGGGAGAAGCCAGCTATTGGAGGGTCACCGACTAGAGGCCCGAGAGTCCCTTGTGGTGGGGGAGGCTTGGTTCTGCAGGGCGTGCTTTTCTGCCCCCCACAGTGTGGTTCTGGCTATGCCCCTGGGGAGGGTCTGGTTTCCAGTGTGGGGCAGGGGATGGCTCAGTCTCTCCCTCCCCCTGGCATTAGTGGGGCAAGTGGAATCCTTGGGGCGGGTGCCAGTCTTGGCAGCCAGGCAGGGGCCGGCGTTGGGGCATGGCTGTGGAAACCACAGGCCCAGCCCACCGGCCTCCTGACCTGGGGCAAGTTACTCAATTCAGTGTTGGCTTCCTCGTCTAATAAACAGGGGTCATAACGTCACTGGCCTGGTGGAGCCAGCGCGAGGCTTAAATGGGACCATGGAGATCTGGATTTAGGGCCTGGGCCTGACTCTTGGATGCTCACCAAGTGTTGGCGTTGCTTTTTTTTTTTTCTGGAGGGAACATGAGGTCAGCTGCAAGGAGAGGGTTAGCAGTTTTGTTCCTGTCCGTTAGTGCTGTTTGTGTTTAAGAGAAAGCTTTCTGCATTGTGCAAAGCTGGACAGATGGAGTGTGTGAGTGTGTGTGTGAGTGAGTGAGTGGGTGAGTGTATGAATGTGTTGAGGGCACCGTTTGCTGCGGCGCTGGCCCACCCCTGTTCACGTGGCACAGAGGGCAAGTTCTTGCTGCCCGGGAACCTCCTGGACCCCTGATTCCCCACTTCTGCCGTGTCCTGTTGTCTTCTCTCTTTGATCCTCCTCTTGTTGGCTACCTGTGCTCTACCCAAACCTTGACCCCCAGGAGCCACCATCACTACAGAATGATCTAGTTCTCTAGTCTGGAGCCCCAGGTGCCAGCAAGGGCCATTGGTGTCCCTGGGCACCCAGCTTTGGCCAGGTTTGTCTCAGGGTCTGCTGGCTCGAGCTGGGGGTGGGACAAGGGCCTGGCCTCTCTGACCGCTTGGATCTGGGGGAGGGGCAGGCAGGATGGACAGGGCAGTGACACTCCAGTTGTCCTTGTTTCTTTGAGGTATCCCCAGTCATATACACCTGCCCACACTAGAGTGAACTTCCCTCTGAAGACCCACTTCTGGTCCGCATGAGAAAGTTCCATCCCTCCTGCTAGTGAGCTTCTGAGCCTCTTCCCCATCCACTGATGGCCCTGGCCTTCCCTGCAGGAGCACCTGCCCCTCTCTGTCCTAGGTTGTGTGACAGCACCGCAGGAAGGCGTGGGCAGTGCCATCCTTGGTTTAAATCCCGCAGCTTGGGAAGGATTGACTCCCCAGATCAGAGGGTTTAAGGACCTCCCTGTATTTCACTCACAATCAAATGCTTCCTAAGAGGGAGGGAACAGGTCCAGCCAGTCACTAAGCTCTTAGTGTGTCTCAACTTCAAATCCTCCTTCTAAAGTTGGCTTTGTGCTTGCGGGGGTGGGGTCACAGCTGGTCCAAGGGGAGCATGGGGAACCCCGGCTCTGCCCTGGGGGAGGGGACATCACACAGAGGAATGCCATCACCTTCGTTGGAGTCCCGTGTAGTGGTGGAAACAGAGCTCAGAAGCCCTAGCCGGTCCTGATTCTCGAATGTTCTCGAGTTCAGCGTGGCCATTATCTTCTGGATGTCTCTCTAACCTTTCCTCTGTCTGCACCCGAACCCTGAGGGGCATTAGTCTGAGTATGCCTGACTATGATTTTTAATTTTTTTTTTTTTTTTTTTTTTTTAAAGATTTTATTTATTTATTCATTAGAGACAGAGAGAGAGAGGCAGAGGGATAAGCAGGCTCCCAAGGAGCAGGGAGCCCGATGCGGGACTCGATCCCAGGACCCTGAGATCATGACCTGAGCCGAAGGCAGACGCTTAACCATCTGAGCCACCCAGGCGCCCGATTTTTAATTTTTTTAATTTAAAAAATTTATTCAGAGGGCAAAACTAGATCTGTAGTACAAAATATACTTTTGTGGAATAAACCACAAACTTTAGTTTCTAAATAATTATAGATTCACAGGACTTTGCAAATTTTTTGGACAAAGAGGTCGAGTGTACCCTTCATCCAGCTTCCCCCATTAGTTACATTTATATTCCTTTTTTTTTTTCAGATTTTATTTACTTTTTTATTTAGAGAGAGAGAGAGAGAGTGAGCAAGTGGGGGGAGGAGTAGAGGGAGAGGGACAAGCAGATTCTGCGCTGAGCATGGAGCCCGACACGGGGCTTGATTCCATGACCCTGAGATCATGACCTCAGCCTAAATCAAGAGTTGGATGCTTAAACGACTGAGCCACCCAGGTGCCCCTTTTTATATAACATTTATATTTATTATTTTTTTTAAAGATTTTTATTTATTCATCTGACAGAGAGAGAGAGACAGCGAAAGAGGGAACATAGGCAGGGAGAGTGAGAGAGGGAGAAGCAGGCTTCCCGCTGAGCAAGGAGCCCGATGCGGGGCTCGATCCCAGGACCCTGAGATCATGACCTGAGCCTAAGGCAGACGCTTAACAACTGAGCCACCCAGGCACCCCTATAACATTTAAATTTATATAAGTGACATTCGTATAAGTGTCCTTCAATAGCCAAACCAGGAAATTGAAATTGGTACTGTGTGTGTGTATGTGTGTGTGTTTGTGTGTGTATCTCTGCCATTTTATCATGTGTAGATTTGCAAAAGGGACTTGCAAGCAGCTCCCCACTCCACACCCCCCCACCGCCCAGCTTTGGTGTGGCTTCCTCAAGGATAAGTCCGAGGACTCTGGGAGGGGGGGACTCATGGCAATTCCGACTCGTGTGGATCTGTAGAGCCCAGCTGCTGGTGGCAGGGACTGCGGGGGGCTTGCATATGGCCCCTCAGAGGCAGAGGACCCCGGAGCCGGCCAGGCAGTCATGTGTGGATGGCAGCCCGAATGGGAGGACTGCAGCCTTGAGGGAGGGGCTCAGGGAGAAGAGGGCCGGGCAGTGGCTGCCCCCCTAGGTGAGGACGCCAGTTTGAGGGGGAGCTTCGGGGGCTGGGACAGCATCGGTCCAGGCTGAGTGGCGATGGCCGAGCAGTGCTCCCCACATCACCGATCTTCTCCTCCCTGCCAAGCCCTCCGCTGGGTGCTGGGGACACAACGGTGACCCAGACCCGCTTCTAGTTCCCCAAGGGCTCAGAGTCAGGTGGGGAAACAGATACACACGAATGACATGGAAATAATAAAAATCCTGATTATATCAGCGGACACTTACTGGATGCCTCCTGTGTATCTTATATGAATGATTGCAGTTAGTAGGCATGCCTCCCTGTGAGGTGGAGGCTGTTATTACCTTCATTTCGTAGATGAGGAAACACTGGTGTGGGAGGTTAAGTCGCTTGGCCAGCGCTCCTCGGCTGGTACGTGGTGCAGCCCGGGATGGGGGCAGGTGGAACGTGACATCGAGCAGGTGGTGTGCAGCCTGTGAGCACGGAGAGAACATGGCAGGGTCACGAGGCGATATCTCCAGACATCTTTGGCTGTTGTGACTGGTGTATGTGTGTGTGTGTTACTGGCCTCTGGTGGGTAGAGGCCAGGGGTGCATTTGGGATATACTTCGACAAGAAAAGAATTGGTTGTTTATCTGAAATTTGGATTTACCTGGGCGTCCTATACTTTATCTGACAAACCTATGGCTGAGGCCCGTGGAGCCCCAGAGGCCCCCACCACCCTGAAGCCAGCATGAAGGGACTGCTCAGCTCCTGGGAATCAGTGAGAGAGGTTCCAGAGGGAGCCCGGGGCCTGTCCTCCCTGAGGGCAGCTGGTCCGAGACAGCCAGATGCCTTTCTTTCCCATCTCGTCTGCACTTGCTGCCCCCGTCCCTGTGCCCCCCTCTGGAGTGATGCCCCCACGTGCTAGGCCGGCCATCCCCCCCCCCCGGAGCTGGAAACCTGGACATAGCCCTTGATCCCTCCTGCTCCTCCCACCCCTCCCCTTCTCAGATCCTGTCCCCCATGCCTGCCCGTCCCATTCCAACAGCTTGCAGCCCATCACCTGTCTCGTCCTGTCCCTCCCCTTCCAATCCAGTAGAATGACCTATTGAAAACCCAACTTTGCACCATAATTTTATTATGATACGTTTTAATCCTGCAAAGTATTGTTTGTTTAAAAAAATAAAATAAAATATTCAAGGGCACGTAAGAGATCAAGGGCCTCCCTTCCGTCCCAGGAGGAAAATGGGAAGCTGGGGGGTGAGGTCGGAAGAAGACCCATCACTGCGGGCTTCTCGAATTCTGAATTATGTAAACGTATTACCTATTCAAAAAATAGGTTTTTTCGAACCACCACCTTAGCTATTAATTACCTTTGGCCCCCGGCCCAGGTCTGAGGATGCTTCAGTGCACAGACAGCTAAGTGAAGGAATAAGTGACTGATGAGAGACTTGGGGTCCCTGATGCTTAGCGGAGGGAAAGTGTCAAGAGGACTTACAATGGCACCTGCCCCATGCACACTCTGGCCACTTGAATCGCCTGAGTGCTGCTAAGAGATTGGGGCCCTTAAGTCTCTGTGAAGGGCAAAGAGCACGGTGACATCAAGAAGTAACACCAGCCTTGAGGCACCTGGGCTGGCCCAGCTGGTGGGGCGTGGGCCTCTTGATCTCAGGTTGCGCAGAGAGATTACTTAAAAAAAAAAAAGGAAGAAAAAGCAACACCAGCCGTGGGGCTTCTGGAACTCTCCTCCGGTCTGCGTGTGGAATCCTCTTGGGCGGGACCTCTGCCTAATCCTTGAGAGCAGAAAGTCTGTTTTCCAGCTCCCTGTGCAGCATTTGGCCCCTGCCCCTGCCCTCCAGCCAGTGGGTGTCCATGGGCGGGAGCCACGCTGCAGTCTGCGTGTGGTCTTCTCTCCCAGCCCAAATCCACCCCCTCCTTTCCTTTATGGAAGGAACATCCAGATGGGAGTGAGAATTCCAGTGTTATGGAAATAGCCCCAGATCTGTTCTGATTTGTGTAAAAAGGCCAACCACACACAGACTCCGGAAGTGTGCGCTGAGTCACGTGGAGCTCAGTCCCCCTCCCCCCATCCTGGGGTCCGGCCACGTGGCTGAGTGGCTGACCGGGGACCCCGCCAGGTCCCTGGGGGCTCAGTCCTCCTCAGGTGCCAGGCCGTTGGTGGCATCACGGCTCCGAGTGTGGTGAATTGTCGGTTTGTCTGTGTGCAGAGGTGGACCTCGTGCCGGAAGGAAGGGCAACTTTGTCCCCATGCAGCCTGCAGGTTCCATTGGCCCTTGGAGCAGAAGTGCACGGAGGAGCGAATCAGAACAGTTGCTTCTCAGGGCTCCTGGGTGGCTCAGTATGTTAAGCGTCTGCCTTGGGCTCAGGTCACGATCTTCTGGTCCTGGGATCTGGGATCGAGCCCTGCGGTGGTCTCCCTGCTCAGCGGGGACTCTGCTTCTCCCTCTGCCTCTCCCCCCAACTCGTGCTCTCTCTCTGTCTCTCAAATAAGTAAATAAAATCTTTAAAAAAAATATGGTTTCTTTAAAAAAAAATAAAAAAAGAAAAACAGTTGTTTCTTCCAATTACATGGGATAGAACCTTGAAGCTCAAGACACACTTGCAGGCCTTGGACAGAGGCAGGCTGGCCTCTGAGGACGTCCCGCCAGACCCCAGCTGCAGCCCCCGAGCCCGCTGCGGATAATTCGAACCAGCCACGGGGCCCCAGTGGGTGCGTGCCCTGGAGACCAGCGGGCCTGGAAGAGATGTCACTTCAGCTGACACTGCCCACCCTGTGCAGCCTCCCCCAGGATCTGTCCCTCTGTGAGGTTACAAAAACAGTGAGCAGAATTCATCCCCAGGCAGGTTACCTCACCCAAGAGCAAAGCACTTTGTCCTGCTTTCATGGACTCCACAGCAAGGCTGTGCAGGCTGGGCATTTGCCTTCCAGCATCTGCCTCCTGGCTTGGCAGATCGGTCTCTTATAAAACTGCGTTGGTCACGTCACTGGCTGTGCCCCTTGGAGTCCTTCAGCGGGAGCTTCCAGCTCCATTTTCACACCATTTCAGTCTCTGCAGACGGAGCATGAAGACAATGTCATTCTTGATTTGTCTTCTCCTGGCTTTGCCTCTGCTGCCTGGACCCAGAGCCCGGGTTCCTGCTCCCCTGCAGTTGGTGGCTCATCTCAGGGGTCTTATGGCTTACCTTGGGGGGCTTCTGGGTTCCAATCCTCCCTCTGCCACCTTCCTAGCTGAGTGACCTGGCGTGGTCACGTGGCCTCTCCCTGTCTCAGCTTCTGCTTCTGTCAACTGTGGATCATAATGCCACTGACCCGCTAGGCTTGGAGGACAAACAGATCACACTTGCAAAGCACAGGACATGGAGCGTGAGGCTCACCGTGATCGGAACTGGCAGCCTCTTCGATAAAATTTGCAGAATCTTCTGGCCTGGATAAAATTTTGGAGGAGGCTGACATCTGCATTTCAATTTGCATATATCTGCATAAGACACACCTTAGTGCCTCTTTGGCATTCAGAATGACTGTCCTTCTTGGAGTCCCAGAGCTGCTGTCCCACTGCTCGTGGGCAGTTTGGAAGAATCCCATGAGGGCAAGGATGCGTGCCAGAGCAGTCACCCCTGGAGAGAAGTTCACGCTCAGCCCCCACCGGGGCGCCTCACCCTAGGTGCCACCCTCCTGGACAGACCACTCCTGCACCCCTCCCCTCGCTGCTGGGGGGGTCAGGATGTAGAGCAGTGCTGTGAAGGTACAGATGTTTCCAAGAGAAACAGGCACAACATAATTGCGGTTGGAGCTTTACCTGCATCACGCCCAATCCTCCGACAGCCCCCTTAGGCTTGCAGGCTTGCCTGGGTGGTCAGTGGCAGAGTGGCAACTGGGGCTGGCTTCCCACCTCCAAACACTTAGCATCGCCACACCGAGTGGATGCTGTCACTCTGCGGTCACGGAGACCCGAGCGCTGATGGTCTAGTTAGCTCGGGGGTGTAGGGCAGGAAGGCCCTGGAAACACAGCATCCTGGGGGGGAGGTGTGTTCTTGAGGCTCGCAAAGGTCCTGCTTTGCTTGATCATGCCTGCCATGGGCCCTGGTGCCCTCTCTGCCCCCCTCCTCTAGGTATGCTTGGCCTTCAGCGCAGAGTACGCTAAGTATGGACACGTCAAGATACACCATGGTTATACCAATGTGCTGGGCCTGGGGGACTCGAGCACATGGAGACTGCCTTGCCTCAACCGCTTTGTGTACATGTTCCTTTCTCCTCTTTTGATCCCCGTCATAACTCCACTGGTGGCAGTCGGTGAGTATGCCAGGGCCGTGCCCTGCAAGAGCAGGTTCCCCACTTCCCTTCCCCTCCTGACTTCCTGGAGGCTGCTTGTGGAGGAAGCTGGGAGCCCCGAGTTAAGACCAGAAACTTTCTGAGACAGCCAGGCAGGGTGGAAGGAGCCTTGGACCCAGGGCCAAGTCTGGCCCTGCCACTTATTGGCTGATGACCACAGGCAGGTAACGGACCCACTCTGACTCAGGTTCTTACCTGGTCCTCAAGGGTGGTGTGAAGGCATCACGAGGTCCTAGATGTAAAAATACTTCGCAGATGTCTCGTGCTATATTGCATGCTAGGGATCGTAATATTATGGGAACAATATCATTTGGTGGAAGGAGGGGCTGGAGGGCAGCCCAGCCTGGGTCCCAGCCCTGGATGGCACTTACCACTTCCTAGCAGAGTGGCCTTGGTCAAGTTGCTTAGTGCTCTGCTTCCTTATCCATGAAATGGGCGAACGTCCTTTTCGGGGCTGTGAGGATGAACGGATTGCCCTAGTTAGCACGCTAGTTAGCACCCGTGGACCAGCAGGGAGCCGGTTTGTGTGGGACCTGAACCTTGCCTTCCCTCCCAGCCCCACACTCAATTTCTTGCTCCCTCTGGCAGAGCGGCTGAGGAAGGTGGAGCTCAGCTTGGCTATGCGCACACTGGGCCTGATTTCCCTGGGCCTCTATGCTCACTACTGGCTACTTCTGAACGTGTCCGGCTTCAGGGGCCCCGGCTCGGCCCTGCTCTGCATGTTCATCACCAGATCCCTGCTGGCCCACCCTTACCTTCATGTCAACATCTTCCAGGTGAGGCCTCCCCGACCTTGAACGCAGGCTAGACCCCTAGTGTTCTAGGGAAAGAGAGAGAGGCATTCCCCCCACCTCCCACCCCAACTTCTCTGTGGGTTATCACAGAGAGTTTGGGTTTCAGGTAAAGAATGTGCTTCTCTTCAACACTGGCTGCCATTCACATGTGGATGGAAGATTTAAGAAACTTTTATGCCTAGGGCACTTGATTAGGTCCTGTGGAGACACAAGTGGTTAGGACCCCATCTCCCGCCCTCGGGGCACTTACTGGGATAGGCCCAAGTGATGTGAGCCGTGGGCCATCACTGAGGCCCCAGCGCAGGCCACGAGACAGGAGGAGCCAGAGATGGGAGGTCTCCAGGGGAGGCCAGGGGCTCAGCACTCAGATCCATAGGGATGGGTCCCTGTTCCCTGGACATGAAGACAAGACGGATGAAGGTGAGAGCGTCCTTCATGCCCGCATCCCAGCTCCGGCCACGCTCATCTCAGAGTGCGAAGCTGTGCGTGCTGCCCGGGCTGCCCGGCTGCCTGCCTGTCCTGCTAGAGCGGACGCTCCCGTTCACTTCCAAATCCCTTGGAGGAGGCACTTATCCATACTTGTTGAATGAAAAATTACACAGACTTGACCTTGAACCCTGAGCAGGATTTTGATTAGTGAAAAGAGAGCAGAGAAGGGTCTCTCCAGGCTGAGACAAAGGCATCGTGGCATGAGAGTGGTGGGCATGTCAGGATCATGGGGTCCAAGGGGTATCCAAGCCAAGCCCCTCATTGTACAGATAGAGAGAGAGGCCCAGAGATGGGTGAGATTGAGCTCAGAGCACAGACAGGAGAATCCCAGCCTCCTCTCGCCTCTCCAGGTCCCGCCAGAGGTCCCCAAGTGGTAGGTGAGGATGTCCAGGGCAGGGCAGGGAGGCACAGGGCTGCCCGGCCTAGGCCTAGGGTGTGACCCACGTGTCTGTCACAGCACATTGGGCTGCCCATGTTCTCCCGGGACAAGAAGCCCCGGCGGATTCACATGATGAGCCTGGGTGTGCTGAACCTGCCTCGGCTGCCAGTGCTGGACTGGGCGTTTGGCCACTCCCTCATCAGCTGCCACGTGGAACACCACTTGTTCCCCTGGCTCTCTGACAACATGTGCCTGAAGGTAGGTGGCGGTCGGGCCGGCAGGGTTGGGACGAAGGGACTATCTGAGGGCAGAGAGAAGTGAACCCCGGGTCCCCCCGCTGGCCTGGTCAGAGGTACGCTGGAAGGCCATCCCTGTGTCCAGGCAGCAGTGTGCGTTTCCGATCAGAGACAGGTGGGTTCCTTACTAGCACTGTGACTCTGGACAAGTTAACTGAATGCCTGGGAGCCTCAGCTTCCTCATCTGGACGATGAGAGTAAGCGGTGCTTGTTGGCATGCTTTAAGGATGAAATGAGATGGATCTGACATGCTGGGCATGCAGTACGTGCTTGGCAAATGGGGAGCTACAGTTTTTATCCCCTATGCCAAGGGGAACTGTCATACAGTTGGGCACCCTGCGGGGGAGGATGTGGGGGAGAAGCCCCTCCCCACCCCTTTCCCTTGCCTTCGGCGGGGGGGGGGGGGGCAGGAATTCTCCCTGCCCCTCCGCTCCTCTAGAGCATCACGGAACAAGGCAACAGGAGCTGGGGCTGGGAGGAGGAAGGGCCGCCCATGGGGAGGGGGCTGTCCCCAGTCCTGGCTCAGCTGACCCTCCTTCTGTCCATCTTCTGGCAGGTGAAGCCCGTGGTGTCCCGGTTCCTCCAGGAGAAGCAGCTGCGGTACAACGAGGACTCTTACCTGGCTCGCTTCAGGCTGTTTCTCAGTCACTATGAGGAGTTAATGGTGCAGACCCCTCCCATCACCGAACTGGTGGGATTGCAGTGAGGGGGTGCCGCACAGTCACCCTGCACCCCTTCCCTGACCCAACCCTAGCTCTCTTGCTTCTGCTGGCCTGCCCTCACTCCAGGAGGGCCTGGGCCCTCCCCTAGTGTGGTGGCTGGGTTGCTGGTGGTGGAGTGGGGAGGCACTGGGGGCAGTGAGGTGGAGCGCCCCGGCTGGGATTTCTGGGGATAACCTGTCTTGCTTGCTCTTCTGGGTTTTGAGGGGTATCTGGGGGAAAGAACTAATAGTGGCTGGGCATTCTGGTCAGTGTGGACCTCAGCCAACCTTATCTCAGGGCTAAACAGCTGGATTCCTCCTGTGCTGTGTCTGAGCCTTGGTAGGGTTAAGGGAAGGTGCTGGGGGGAAAGGAGGGGTCCTGGGCAGGGGGAGGCAGGGAGAGAGAAGGGCCAATCCCTCATTTAGGGCCTCCCGAGTGCCAGGAGAGCCTATGTGTGGCTGGCCACCGCTTCTTCCTGTGTCCTTTGAGACTCTGTCTGCTAAGGAGCCCTCTGCCCAGGGACCACAGGGAGAGGTTACTTTTGGCAGACTTTCCTGGTATCTCAGCCAGAGAAGCTTCTGCAAGACACAGGCTCGGCAGCTCCCAAGACCTGCACCATCAGTGAAATCAAAGTGTATGTATTTTGTGGGAAGAGCCCTCCGGGGGAAATAAGGGCATAAATAAGAGTGTAAATAGCTTTGAGCTTGACCTTGGCTAGTTCTAGAAAAAGTCTGCTTTGTTCCATGATGGTTAGTAGGGGTGGACCTGGAAGAACTATCAATTGCAAAGAGAAAAATTACTGGGAGGGTAGCCGAGGCTGGAGGGGGTGATGGGCTCAGTGTCTGGAGGACAGACAGTCTTAGAGGGGAGAGGAAGGAGGGCAGGGTGCAGATACAAGGGTTTGGAGTCAAGAGCAGGGCTTGGCTGTGAACAGGTGCCTGCAGCCTGGGAGGGAGGCAAGCATACAGGGAGTCACTGATGCCAGCCAGAGGAGAGAGGAGGTGTGCTGGAGACACCACTGAGAATCAGCCCAAAGCGGGCAGCCTGGAGCGAGGGCTGGGGGCCACCCTAACTAGTGGCTGGATGACGGCACAAGGAAGGGCCCAGCTAGAGACTGAGGGAGGGACAGAGAAGGAGGCCAAGCCTATGACAGGAGCCCAGAGCAGTTAGTCCAAAGCAGGGTTTCTTACATCAGAGTACTGACATCATGGCCAGATCGTTCTTTGTCACTGGGCCCTGTCCTGGGCATCCCAGGATGTTTAGCAGCATCCCTAGCTTCTACCCACGGGGATGCCAGGAACCCAAGTTGTGACAGTCAAAAATGTCTCCAGACATTGCCAACTACCTGTCTCCTAGGGGGCAAAATCATCTCTGGTTGAGAAACTGCGAGTCATGTTCTGAGCACACAACTGCCTTGTTTTTCAGTGAAGCCTTTGGACAGGGTGGAGGGCGTGCTGGCTCTGCTGGTGGGGAGGCTGAATGCAGCAAATGGGATGGGCAGAGGGGTTAGAGAGCAGGCCGCGCTGTCCTCTACGCCTGGTCCCGGTGGAGAACCCGTCTCTGGGGTGGCTCTGCTGCCCCTCCAGATCCATTTCCAACCCCCCTCTTCTTCTCCAACCTGCCTTCCTCTACAAAAGACCACAGCTTCTGCCCGGCACCCTTTCCTACAGCGAGGGCTCTTACTACTTCTGAAACTGCTCCTTCCTTCTGCTCCTTTGGGGCCTGGGGTGGTGATGGCTTCCAGTCTTTGCTAGCCAGGGGTGCTTCCCCATTCCCTTGATCCTGCCCACACCTCTGTACAAAGTTCCTTCATTAAACTCTTTTCAGCAGCCCTTCTGAGCGTGCCATCTGTTTCTTGCTGGGAGGTGGACTGATAGAGCCGAGTTTTGGATCCAAGCAGCCTTCTTGGAACAAGAAAGGGTTGGCAGCCTCCCCAGCCTACTGCTTTGCTATACGTTATTACTGCTCTTTTGAAATGCATTAACAGCTCAGAAATGGCCCTCAGGTCTGGGAATGTGATGAATCAAACTGCTAATTCTCCACATGAAAAAATGTAATGTCAGAAGAGGTCCCATTGCGTAGTCCTGGCTAATGATCAAAACCATCCTAATCCATACCAATGACTCATTGTTGTTGATCTGGGCCTGAGGGGGGAATGGGCATCCCCCGTACCAGACCTGGCTGTACCACAGGAGCCCGGGAACAAGGCACTTGATTTCTTTGAGGCTCGATTTTCTGTTACTCTAAGGATGTGGGCTGGGAATGCATGGGGCTTGAGAGGGAAGGAGGGAGGTGATAGGAGAGAATGAAGCCCTCCCTGGACTCTACAGAGACCTAAGGCCTAATTTACAGAGGTATATAGGAGGTGGTAATATTGATGATGGTGATGATGATAGCTAACATTTTCAGAACTTACAGCAAACATTTTTTTTTTTTTTAAGAGGGAGTGGGGAGGGAAGGGCAGAGGGAAAAGGAGAGAGAGAATCCCAAGCAGGCTCCACACCCAGCCGGAGCCCCATGCAGGGCTTGATCCCATGACCCTGAGATCATGACCTGAGCTGAAATCAAGAGTTGGACGCCTAACTGACTGAGCCACCCAGGCATCCCCACATAGTATTTTGGGCTTTGTGGACCATATGGGCTCAGTCACAACTACTGAAACACAACTACTCAAAGCACACTGAGCCACAGAAAATATGGAAAGAAATGAGCATGACTGTGTGCCAGTAAAACTTTCTTTGAACTTTAAGTAATTTTCACATGCCACAAAATATTATTCTTCACAATTTTTTAACCTTTTAAGAATGGAAAAACCATTAGCTTGCCCTAGTATGAAATCAGATGGTGGGCAGGATTTGGCCTGCAAGCCAGTTTGCCTCCTCCTGGTCTAGTGGGACTGGCACAAAATACAATGACTTTGTAAAAACCAGAATAGTATTTACTTCTCAGTAGGAGAGAGGGGAAGTGACAAGGAGAGGCACATGTCCCATTTCTTGAACCAGTTGCTGGTTTATATGGTTACATCTTGTGGTAATTCATCAAACAGTACATGTTTGTGATTTGTGCACTTTTCTGTTTGTTAGACTTCAATAAAAAGACAACTAAAAAATGATAAGGCAGGGACGCCTGGGTGGCTCAGCCGGTTAAGCGTCTGCCTTTGGCTCAGATCATGATCCCAGCATCCTGGGATCGAGTCCCGCATGGGGCTCCCGGGACAGCGGGGCAGTCTGTGGTCTTCAATTCTGATCTCTTAAAATATTTTGCATTAAAGTATTTTTTACCTTAATTACTGAGGTTTTGGCGCCCCCTGAAATTCTGCACCCGAAGCCCGGGTCTTAGGAGCCTCACCCTTAGTACCAGTCCAGTTGGGACAGGAATGGGAGGTATGGCTCTGTTCTTAGTACCAAGGGCAAGCCGCTCCTCCCGTTTCTTCACCTACGTGAAGGGGAGCGGGGTGAGGTGGGACTTGATCTCTCAGGTTTAAAATGCTGCCTGGCCGGAACTGGACAGCATGTGGCTGGGGTCACTCCTGCACAAAGCCCACGTGCTGCCAAGGCCCCACAGTAGCCCTTTTTTCCCAGACTTCCGAACTCCGTGGTTATCACGCTAAGGAAAGGGAGGCTCCTTTGGAACTCGGCTCGTGATTGGCTGGGAAGAAACCAGGCCCGGGCCAGGAGTGTACGCTATCAAAAGGGACCGGCCCATGCGTCATCAGAGAGCGACGAGCGTCTCCGAGGGGGAGGGGCTTAGTAAAGTAAGCTCCTTCCTAATTGGATCCCTCCATCAGGCGGGATTGAAACAGCGATGGAGATTCGCTCTCGTTCAACGCTAGCCTCCAGATGATTGGATTGGGGAGAAAATTATTAAGTCACTAAGGCTCGGAAGTCCTGGGGGCGGGCCCTCAGCGATAGTGGGTGGATCGGCGGGCGGGCTTCTCTTTTGGGGGCGGGCTTCTTTCCGGGATGGAGGCGTGGCCTCCACACTGTGCGTTCCCAGAGCGCGGGAGGCGGGACTTGGGGGCGGGGGCGGGGGCAGGGCGGGGGCAGGGCGGGGGCGGGACCCGAGCCCGCGCGGAGCACTGATGCCCCGGCACTGAGCGCGGGGCGTCTCCGGGATCCTGTCCTCTGGCTGGTTGCTCTTCCAAGCCATGGCCCCGCGTTGCTGGCGCTGGTGGCACTGGTCGGCGTGGCGTCGGACCCGGCCGCCTCCCGCCGGGAGCACCCCGAGTAGGAGCAGGGCACCTACCTGTAGGGCTGAATGGCAGCGCGGGGAGGCCTGCGAGCAAGTGTGGGGGTCAGAGCGGAGCTGGGGCAGGGCTGGAGAGGGGCGAGAGGGGGCCAGGGGCGAAACCGGAGGGGTCCACTCCTACGGACGAGATTGGCGTGGTGTACGGGGGCAGGTGGGGGCCTGTGCGGTCACATGTGTGTCAACAAAGTGAGAAGGGGAGACCGTGAGGTGCACAGGTGTGAGACTGGGTGAATGGGGGTTATATGAAGGTCTGGGAGCCCAGAGCGAAGTCTGAGGTAGAACAGGGGTCTATAGGAAAGACAGGGGTCCACAGGGACAATATAGCGTTCTGTGGAGAGAGAGTGGGTAGAAGAGCTACAGTCGGGCATTGTGGGAGATCCACGGGGGCAAGATTGGGATGATTTGGAGTCCGTTGGAAGGATGTGGTAGTCTAGCTGGGTGGGTAGGGAACCCTGTAAGAAAATGCAGTACTGTGCAGGGCAGCCTCAGGGGTGATGGGGATTGTTGAGTGGGCATAGTAAATTCATGGGTGAGATGCGGGGCTCTGGATGAAGACACAGCCTTTGGGGGTTCAGACAAAGTAAGGGATCCTGCAAACGCCAAAGCTTTGAGGAAAAAGAGGAGGAGGGTGCAAGTAGGGGTGAAGCTTGGGAAGCTCCAGTTTCTGCCTGATGTTGATGTTGGTTTGGGAAGTGCTGATCTGACCTTCCATCCCTTTTCCTCTCCCCCCCCCCCACCAGGCTTCCGGCAGCAGTTCTCTACACAGGAGCAGCCCCCTCAGATCTGTGTGGTGGGCAGTGGCCCAGCTGGCTTCTATACCGCCCAACACCTGCTAAAGGTGAGCCACATTTTCCTGGTTCCCTCACCTATGATTCACCTGCTGCTCTAATCCTGGGGGAAAGCCCCACCCCCTTTGAGTTTTATTTTTTTATTTTTTATTTTTTTTAAAGATTTTATTTATTTATTCATTAGAGACAGAGAGAGAGGCAGAGGGAGAAGCAGGCATCCCGCGGAGCAGGGAGCCCGATGCGGGACTCGATCCCAGGACCCTGAGATCATGACCTGAGCCGAAGGCAGACGCTTAACCATCTGAGCCACCCAGGCGCCCTCTCCTTTGAGTTTTATTTTTTTTATTTATTTTATTTTTTTTTTTTTTTAAAGATTTTATTTATTTATTTTAGAGACAGAGCACAAGAGGGGGGAGCGGGAGCGGGAGAAGCAGACTCCCTGCTGAGCAGGGAGCCCGATGCGGGACTCGATCCCGGGACTCCAGGATCATGACCTGAGCCGAAGGCAGTTGCTTAACCAACTGAGCCACCCAGGCGCCCCTCCTTTGAGTTTTAAAAGCACTCCTGGATCCCTGATGGGAAAGGGGCTCCCAGCACATCTAGACTGGACACTCCCTATATGCTTTGTCACCTACATCTGGGGCTCCCCACTCTAGGTCCTCAGCTATGGGAGAAGTGGTCAGTGGCAGATGGCCTGCTCTGCCACGTTGGCCAAGCCCTTCACGGAGTTTATGCAGACCTGCAGATGACTTTATCCTGCCCCTCATCTTCCCTTCCTCTCTCTCTCTCTCTGTCCTCTGTCCTCAACATCCTAGTCTTGAGGCTATCCCCTCTTCTCAGGGTTTTCTGTCCCTGTAGCCACCTTGTCATGCTCCAGCCCTCCCCATGCTATGTTGTTCTTTCAGCCTGCCCTCCACCCCCCATTCCTCCCACCCCAAGGCCGGAGCCTCAAGGCTTACAGTGTTGGCCTTGTTGGGCACGGCCCCAAGGCTGCTGGTTACCCTTGAGACTTGGGCAGATCTGGGTGGGAGGGAGGGGGGAGGGAGAACCGCAGGTGGGAGGGGGAGAGGGAGACCTAGGCTGACTAAGACATGACACAGTGGCCTTGCTTTGGAGGGACTTGGAGTGTCTGTGGAGAGACAGGAGAAAGAATGAATATATATATATATATATATATATATATATTTTAAAGATTTTATTTATTTATTTGAGAGAGAGAGAATGAGAGAGAGCACATGAGAGGGGGGAGGGTCAGAGGGAGAAGCAGACCCCCTGCCAAGCAGGGAGCCCGATGCGGGACTCGATCCAGTGACTCCAGGATCATGACCTGAGCCGAAGGCAGTCGCTTAACCAACTGAGCCACCCAGGCGCCCAAGAATGAATATATTAATTGTACACACATATATGCAGAAACTGAAAAGGTGGGGTAATCAATCGTCCTAGTTTGCCTAGAACATGGAGCTTTCAATGTTAAAGCCGGGAGGGTCTCGGAGAGACCAGCATGAGTTGGACACCCTGCTGAAAAGTGACCTAAACACGCCTTCCAAGCAACACAGGTGAAAAAGCTAATTACTGAGATGTGACCAGCATGAGCTGAGTTAGGCGCAGTCAGTCAGAAAGGGTTTCCTGGAGAAGGTGCCTTTGAGCTTCCTTGAAGGAGGTGGGCTTTGGAGAGGACGTGCCACGTGTGGGAGGTCACGCATGGACAAACTGCCTTGTGGTAGAATAGCCCCGGGCCCTGGGATGGAGACCAGGGATCCCACGGGGTCTGGGGAGATCCTGGAGGGCTTTGTATA